TGGGATGGTCCCAGTATGGTGGGCACCCAACTGGGATGGTCCCAGTATGAACAGCACACAACTGGGACGGTCCCAGTATGATGAGAACCTAACTGGGAGGGTCCCAGTATAACGGGCGCCCAACTGGGAGGGTCCCAGTATGGTGGGCACCCAACTGGAAGAGTCCCAGTATGAACAGCACCCAACTGGGAGGACCCCAGTCTAGTGGGCGCCCAACTGGGATGATCCCAGTATAATGGGTACCCAACTGGGATGGTCCCAGTATGAACAGCACCCAACTGGGATGGTCCCAGTATGGTGGGCACCCAACTGGGAGGGCCCCAGTATAACGGGCGCCCAACTGGGATGATCCCAGTATGGTGGGCATCCAACTGGGAGGGTCCCAGTATGGTGGATGCTCTACTGGGAGGGTCCCAGTATGGTGGACACCCAACTGGGAGGGTCCCAGTATGGTCAGTACCCAACTGGGAGGATCCCAGTATGATGAGAACCTAACTGGGAGGGTCCCAGTATGGTGGGCCCCCAACTGGGAGGGTCCCAGTATGGTGGGTGCTCTACTGGGAGGGTCCCAGCATGGTGGACACCCAACAGGGAGGGTCCCAGTATGGTCAGCACCCAACTGGAGGGTCCCAGTATGATGAGAACCTAACTGGGAGGATCCCAGTATAACGGGCACCCAACTGGAATGGTCCCAGTATGGTGGGCGCCCAACTGGGATGGTCCCAGTATGAACAGCACCCAACTGGGCGGATCCCGGTGTGATGAGAACCAAACTGGGAGGGTCCCAGTATAACGGGCGCCCAACTGGGAGGGTCCCAGTCTGGCGGGCGCCCAAGTGTGACGCTGGCACTCACCCGGTGGCCGCGCTGTCCCCGTTGCTGGTGGCCTCCAGCCGTGCCCTCTTGCCCCCAGGTCCTGGCAGATCACCGTGCCGCTTCGGTGGCCCCTCTGGGGACGTGGAGGGGACGCCATGATGGGTGACACCGTGATGGGTGACACCGTGATGGGTGACGCCGTGATGGGGGACACCGTGATGGGTGACGCCATGTTGGGTGATGTCATGTTGGGTGATGCCATGATGGGTGACACCGTGATGGGTGACGGTGGTGACACCATGATGGGTGACGCCATGTTGGGTGACACCATGATGGGTGACACCGTGATGGGTGACGCCGTGATGGGTGACGTTGGTGACACCATGATGGGTGACGCCGTGTTCGGTGACACCGTGATGGCTGACACTGGTGACGCCATGATGGGTGACGCCGTGTTGGGTGATGCCATGTTGGGTGACACCGTGTTGGGTGACATTGGTGACATCGCCGTAGCTCGGGGTGCCATTCAGGTGGGTGGCACTGCCATCCACGGTGGTCCCACGGGTGACATCGTGATGGGTGACACCTCCACAGGCCCCATGGCCATCAGTGACGTGGTTATGGGTGACATCTCCACGGGTGACACCTCCACGGGTGACACCTCCATGGGTGACACCTCCACCGGTTCTGTGCCCATCACCGACGTGGTTCTGGGTGACGTCTCCCCAGGTGACACTTCCACAGGTGACATCTCCCTGGTTCTGGGTGGCACCTCCACGGGTGACACCTCCGTGGGTGACATCACCCCAGGAGGCACCTCCCCAGGTGACATCTCTGTGGCTCTGGGTGACATTTCCACGGGTGACGCTCCCCCAGGTGACATCCCCATGGTTGACATCTTCGTGGTTCCAGGTGACACCTCCGTGGGTGACACCTCCGTGGGTGACACCTCCATGGCTCTGGGTGACACCTCCGTGGTTCTGGGTGACATCTTCATGGGTGACATCTCTGTGGGTGACCTCTCCATGGTTGACACCACCGTGGGTGACACCTCCACGACTCCAGGTGACATCTCCGTGGTTCTGGGTGACATCTCCATGGGTGCCACCTCCATGGGTGCCACCTCCGTTGGTGACATCTTCATGACCAACGCCTCCATGGGTGCCACCTCCATGGCTCCAGATGCCACCTCCATGGGTGACATCTCCATGGGTGCCACCTCCGTGGTTCCAGGTGCCACCTCCGTGGTTCCAGGTGCCACCTCCATGGGTGACATCCCCATGGGCGCCACCTCCACCGTTCCAGGTGCCACCTCCACAGGTGACATCTCCGCGGGTGCCACCTCCGTTGGCGACATCTCCATGAGCAACACCTCCTTGGGTGCCACCCCCACGGTTCCAGGTGTCACCTCCACGGGTGCCACCCCCACGGCTCCGGCTGCCCCCCCCGCCACCCCCACCCCGTGTCCCCACCGCTTGTCCCCTGCCGTCCCCTCCGGCCCCCCAGGCGCTGTCCCCGTTGGCGCCGGGCGCCATGCCGCCTTTGGCGCCCGCCATGTTGCGCAGGACGAACTCCACGATGTCGGACGGGAGGTCCTCGGTGTCACCTCCTTGTCCCCCCTGTCCCTTGTCCCCATCGTCCACCCCGTCCAGCTGCTGGATGTGGGGCTGCTCGGTGCCGTGGGGCGGAGCCGTGGGGCGCAGGGATGAGCTCAGCATGGCGCGGCCGTGGCGGGCGCTGCGCCGGCCACCATCGGCCTTGGGGACACCCATGGGGACACCCATGGGGACATCCATGGGGACATCCACGGGGACACCTCCTGGGGACAGCAGCTCTGATGGTGGCACTGTTGGTGGCCACGGTTCCATTGGGGGTGGCTTCCTCGGGGCTGGCGTTGGCCCGTTGGGTGGCACTGGCCCGTTGGGTGACATTGGTGGCCCATCGGGTGGCACTGGCCCGTTGGGTGGCACTGGTGGCCTGCTGGGTGACACTGGTGGCCTGATGGGTGACACTGGCCCATTGGGTGGCATTGGTGGCCCGTTGGGTGACACTGACAGCCCATTGGGTGACATTGGCCCATTGGGTGACATCGGTGGCCCGTCAGGTGGCACTGGCCCGTTGGGTGGCATTGGTGGCCCGTTGGGTGACGTTGATGACCCGTAGGGTGACGTTGGTGGCCCGTTGGGTGACAGTGACCCGTTGGGTGACACTGGTGGCCCACTGGGTGACATTGGCCCATTGGGTGGCACTGGTGGCCTGTGCGGCCTGTTGGGTGACGTTGATGACCTGTTGGGTGACACTGGTGGCCCGTTGGATGGCGCTGGTGGCCCGCTGGGTGACACTGGCCTACTGGGTGGCATTGATGACCTGTTGGGTGGCATTGATGACCTGCTGGGTGACACTGGCCCGTTGGGTGGCACTGGTGGCCCGCTGGATGACACCGACGGCCCACTGGGTGACATCGGTGGCCCATTGGGTGACACTGGCCCATTCGGTGACACTTGTAGTCCACCGGGTGACATCGGCGGCCCATTGGGTGACATCTGTCCCAAGAGCAACGGTGGCCCATTGGATGACACCGGTGGCCCGCTGGGTGACGCTGGTGGCCCACTGGGTGACGCTGGTGGCCCATTGAGTGACATCTGTCCCAAGAGCGACGGTGGCCCGTTGGATGACACCGGTGGCCCGCTGGGTGAGCCTGGTAGCCCATAGGGCGACACCGGCGGCCCGTGAGGCGACATCTGTCCCAAGAGCGACGGCGGCCCGTTGGGTGACGTCGGTGGCCCACCGGATGACGTTGGTGGCCCATGGGGTGACATCTGTCCCACGTCGGGTGACGGTGGCTGCGGGCGGACGTTGGGGACGCGGCGGGGGGGGGCGCGGGGGGCTC